CGTTGGCATCTCTGTTTTAGCAGAAATGGAAAGCTTTAGTGTTTTCAATTAAAAGAAAATTGGATGCAAATTTCTTTTAATTGAAAAATTGGATGCAAATTTCTTTTAATTGAAAACACTAAAGCTTTCCATTTCTGCTAAAACAGAGATGCCAACGATTTAGAGGTAATTTTATTTTCTTTATGGAACAAGATTAAATTTCATAGATGTAGATCGGCAACTAAAACACTTTGAATGCCAATATTTTTGCAAATATCTTTTATTGAAGGCCTTATTTAGAGTAGACGGTGACCATTTATTAGCCTCCCTTTCACATTTCACGTAGTATAATCTCCGTCATGTGCCATAGTAAATGACAATGTGACGTGATAGCGGTATGCGCTATAGAGTAAGCTCAGAAACTATCTTGTATTTTCACTTAACACCTTCACACTTTTACTGTGAATGTGAAAATTCGTAAGTATTGAAGTATCAGTATGGATGGAAGATGATGGAGCTCTAGTAACAGAGGGCCACTGTACAAGGGGCTGCTAGCCACGTGTCAGAGAATAAAATAATTTTGTAGGAGAGATTGTAAAAGGAATATCTATTCAGTATTCGGTTGAATATCTAATGTACTTTGAAATAGCAGAGCGGACTAACACTGTCTGTCACTTTAGAAGCTCTTGGTCTCGATTCTAGCTGGAGCGCACGAAACTTATATCTGTGCATCTAATAACACAAACTCTGGAAGTCAGAGCTTCATCTGTGCAACCTGCTAGACAACCCAGTTACACTTGAAAGCTTTAGTGTTTTCAATTAAAAGAAATTTGCATCCAATTTTTTTTTACGAAGACGTCAAATATGCCGCCGCGGAATTTATGACTGCGACCACATCGTCTATGTGACTTTGAATCGCCTCATTGCTATCTTGAAATACAAGGCAATCTGATACACCAGGAAATGTTGATCCCTTGTAGCCTTCATAAAATCCTGGTCCAAAAATTAGATGTTTAAACCACGGACGGTGCGGAAGGCCAACGTCAGTGATCAAATGACGTTCAAGGTTTATAAGTTTTTCATTCCAGAAACGACGCATTTCATAATTATGTAACGTCTCCTTTGTTTGCGCGAATTCTGCTACTTGCACTTGAAATATCTCAGCGCTGCGAGTAAATGTTTCGATCGCCTCGTAAAGTTTCGAATAGTCGACTCGACGCCCTATGTCCAGTGTGATTTTCTCGTAACTTAGAAGACTTGAGAGCATTTCAGGTCCATAAGTGGAAAAGTCAAAGGGGACAATTGCACTGTCTACCAACCGAAGAGTGATGAGACCCCACCACTTAGCCACGGTCGTATGTGTTGCATAATGTGGATCACCCACTGTTTCTACGTAACGAATGCTATCCATGGTGCTGTGGTACGTTCCATATGTTGCACTACTGATAGTGTAGCCCAAGTCGGCAGATGTAATGCCAAGATACTGGGAAAATGGCGTAAAGTCTTTGCCTGACCCCAAACGCTGGATTAAATAATCCGGAGCCAAAGTCAAATCATCGACTCCGACTTCGAGCCTTGATCGTCGCATTGCAGTCTGTTGAACCCACTGTTCGTAAAGACTTTCCGTCACTTTGAAACCTTGAAATGGGTTTCCTGGAATAAGAAGCGCCGTTTGCTGTAAAAATTTGGCTATTGATGGAGAGCTCGCTACGCTTACCAAAGACCCGACTAAGTTGTCGACATTCACATATGCCACCGTCTGCTCCTTGAGTACGCTGGAGTGATCCTCTGCAAACTCCGTACTACCCAACAAACCCAATTCCTCACCATCCCAAGAAGCAATGACAAGGGTACGACGCGGTTTCCAGCCGTTTTTCAATAGCTTGCCCAGACCACGAGCGATTTCTAGCATGACAGCCGAGCCACTAGATGGATCAACAGCACCGCAAACCCACGCATCACGATGATTTCCAATCATGACCATACGCTCCGGTTCATCTGTACCTTCGATCGTCCCAATAACATTCCAAATGGGACCAATACTATTGTCCATCACAACGTCCATATTTAATACGGTAGCTTCGTCATCACCTACAAAGTAGTGCCCAGATTCTAAATTCAACGCGCCTTGCCACGATGCCGGTGCAATCTTACCACCCATTGCTTCGAGAATATAACGTGCCTGACCATACGAAAGAGGCAGCGCTGGAATGTGCGGAATACTAATACTGTCTTTTTTACTTAGATACGGCTGACCAGGTAGGGAAGGAAATCCAGGAGTAAGGGGATCTCCTGCTGCAATTGAATTGTACTGCACTGAACCACGTTGAAACGATCCATCTGGTCGCCACGGTCCATCTGGATACACTCGTCCACGCGTGTATCCATCGTCAAACGGGTCTGAGTATATCAATACCCCCACCATACCGTGTTTTTCGGCAAGCATGACTTTAAGGCCTCGAAAATTACCTCCATACCGCACAAGAGCAATCTTACCTTTCAATGTGACATTGTTGTCATGTAGCCATTGAAAATCCGCTGGTCTCGCATAATTAATGTACACAACCGAGGCTGTCACATTTCCAGAGTCAGAATATCCAAAATATGGAGGCAGTGCGTCTTCATTGCTTGTGCACGAATCTCCTGGAATAGCCTCTTCTGTTAAATTCAATTCTCGCTTAGCATTGCTTGGAGCTAAAATACTTAGCTTTCGATGAACTGGCAGTGACAATAATGGATAATACTCGACAATCTCAGTCTTCAGTCCAAAAGATTGAAATTGCTCAGCTGTAAACAATGCTGTCTTGTAATCTTGTTCACTACCCGCGACATGAGGAACACTAGCGTACGCTCCATGAAATTTACGAATTTCGATCGTGTCAATAGTATTTAGAAACTGGCTCTCAAGTTTAGAAAGACCATCACTCTTGTTCTGATCACTAAAAGTCGTCAATTCCTTGATCTGATTCCCAATTTTTAAAGTTGCGTTAGAGAATGCATTATGTAGCGCTAAAGTCGCATTCAATTCCTCTCGCCTGCTTACGGACTCTAAGTGACTTTGCAACAGAATGTAACCGGCAACAACCAGTAACAGCGTCGCAAAACCTGTATATCGCCACAATTTGCCAGACAAGCGTGGACGCTCAGTGATATCGGGCACAACATGACCATCAAAGGAGCCATGTGCTCCCTTCATCGTTGCGTGGTATTCGTAGTTAGTGTTTGCAGGCGCAGGATTTGTTATCGGAGATTGTAAAGGCATCATAATGTTGAATGGTCGAATATATTGATGTTATGAACACAATAACGTGTAGTGTACATGAAATGAATATTGATGATTTTCGTGTCAATACATAAAATATCAAGTCAATGCGGAACGATCTGGTACAGCAAGGGGTACGCTTTTTGCAGCATTCCAATGTGCAGGATACGCCATTATCGGAACGGCTACTGTTTCTCGAGAAAAAGGGTCTTACACCTTCAGAGATTGCAGCGGCACTAAAACTTAGCGAGGATAAAAATGTATCGCGTGCGGCACAAGCTGTCGCCTCTGTGGTGCGTTTTGGTGATCAATTGTTGTTGTTTTCTTTGCTTAGTGTCTTTCTGTTTACGGTTGCAGACGAGTAGTAAAAGTGGTGAACGTCTACAAGATCGTATAGGCGTCATAGTGGGCGGTAATATCGGGTTGGGATTGTTTATAGCAATTAAATTGGCCAAAGAAGGCGCTAGACTTGCTATTGTCGGTGATAAGACTGCGAACGTTTCAGTGGCAGACAGCGTAGAGGCTCAATTTAAAGCAGCAGAAGGAATGAATCCTGTGAAGATTTACGAGGGTGAATTGCACAGGTCAATCTTCATAGACGAGACGTATACTGCCATCTCGCAAGAATTTGGACGAATTGATTTTGTAGTCAATTGCATACCATCACCAAAAGATAGTGGTATAAAGAATGCGAGTCTGGTAGACGTGGACGCTGCCGCTTGGGATGAATCTATGGGTGTGTCTGCCAAAGCTGTGTTCCTTAGTTGCAAACGAGCCGTACAGCAGATGCTGACGCAAGATAATGGAGCTGTGCGTGGCCGTATTGTCAACATCTCGTCGATGTATGGTATGGTCGCACGTAAAGGCCATTTTACATTTGGAGTGAGCAAAGCAGCAATTGTACAGCTTACACGTCAAATTGCTGTTGAGTATGCAGCAAGCGGAATTGTGTGCAATGCTGTGGCTCCGGGCTTTATTGATGATTCGATCAACCGAGACGATTGTCTCCCACCAGCGTCAAGAAATATCATTCCAGCTGGAGAACCTGGCAAGTCAATGGATGTAGCAAATGCCGTCACTTTCCTTGTGTCGGATGATGCTCGGTATATTCACGGTATAAATTTGCTTGTGGACGGTGGCTACATGGCTTGTTAACATAAGCAGTAAATCCTCGTCATTGATACGATTTTTCGTCTATTTACGTCTAATTCTCTAATAATGTGAGTAATGTAATAATTGAAAGTCTATATTGACATGCACGTACTAGCACTAGAACTTGCCACCTGTAAAGACATTGATCGCATATGAAAATGCTGCAAAACCAGCGCAGCCAAGACATTGAGCTTGAAAGCCTTGACCTGATGCTAGTGCTGCACCCGTCGCACATCCAGCCACAAGTTCATTGCCCACATCGTGACGTGCACGAATCTTTTCTGTCGCACACTCGAGACCCGAAAACATGGCGGAAATTACAAGAAAGTTATTACTCCAATAGCGGCACTTGCCAGCAGTGACTCGCCATGCTCCAACCACCTACAGCACATACCTGGTAAGTTTGATCATCTAATTAAATTAAATGCACCTATCAAAATATAAACCAACCGATTCACGCCATGGCACTTTAGGAAGAACTCTTTGTCCAGGAATTGGTACAGGGGGCGTGATACCTTCGTAGCTGCCCAGCACAAGACCAAACACGTTGCCCATGACGTACCCTGCCACAATTAATACGTGCCATGATACCATTTAAACAAACGCAACTGAATTTAAAGCGCAGTTTAGCGCACCCATAGCTGCTGAGAGAAAAAACTTGCCGACACATGACTCAGTGATGGGATTGGGCTGTTGCCACTGCAAGATCTGTGGTGGATATGCCGGTAAGAACGGGTGAATGCCAACACTTTTTTGTAGTGTCTGCACTGTAAGAATGGATCGCGGAAAGAGAAATGGATTCGGAGGTGTCTCCTTGCTCAGGTCCTCTATGTGCACACCCAGCCGTGAGTTTACTTCATCTGTCATTTGGTGGTCTTTAGAATTTCGCTACTGTTTTTTCGAAGTATTAATTTTAAAAGTTATCTTTTCATGAATTTATAAGAAATGTTTTCTGGTGAAATTTGACGATTCACTTAAGCACATAATGAGCCGGATTTATGGAGGTAAACGCTAGCTTTAACCAGTTGATTGCTGGCGATTTATCATTTAGTAAGTACGTTACAATGTTGGGTCTTGTGGAGGTGTGTTCAAATTGTCTGGCCAAACAAGCATCGAACAAAGTGTCGATCTTTTTCAAGCCTGATTATGCTTTTCGCCAAGAGTTTGTAATCGAGTTTTAGCATATAAAGAATGTCAGATACCTGTTTTTTACTTCTTCTTCGTTTTTTTGTTCCATCAAGGTGTCACAAACGCCGTAATATCGCACTTCGGGGTCCAGAAGATCGTGTCTCTTGCTTGCAAAAACTTGTAAGCTCACCTTCCAAACCATCTCGATCAATGGGAAGCTCATTTCTCGTGTATTTTAGTCTAAACGTGAAGAAAGAAGCCTCTTCCGCTCCCGCTCTAATCATATCACATACTGTTCTCGAAGTGCAACAAATTCAGCTTGAGATTGTTATGTCGCGCGCTTGTAATGCTAGAATTCCGTTCGTCTCGTATAAAGTTAGACTTCCTGTACATCGATGCTCTCACGTGAAACTGCAACTGCAATCGGAATACTAAATAAACTGCATGATCTGCTTCTTGGTTTCGTACGCACAAAGCTGCATTTGTGAAATAAATACAGAAGGCATATCAACACTATTGTTTCTGACGTAATCGTATCTTGCCTTTAACACTCCTTGTTGAGTGTACCGTGCACTAGATTAAAGCTCGCACACAATTTTGGCGATATACACTCGCTTCTGTTCGGCGTGCTGTGCTGCATGCTTAGGGCTACCTGCGAGCGAGGCAGTAACACGGATACATGCTTTATTTTCATCTACTATGTTGTTGCAGTTTGACCATTTCTATACACCCACCCAATGCGCAATGCTAAATGAGCTGACACACGTTGCATCTGCGCATTCAGCACTTCAAGTGCTCGCTTGTTCTGTCCCGGTTTGGATTGACGTATTTATCCCACCCAGCTTTTATACTACGAACCGTCAACTCAGGACCTTGACTAGCACATCCAGACCAAGACAGTGCGAGCACGATATCAAATGCAAAGGAAATGACAAGCTAGAATTATCGGATTGAAGAGAGTAGACACGTATCCATCGCTGCTGAAGTCGTGTGGATTCCCACTTGAGGCATATTTACGTTCAGGTCCAAGACGAGGCGCGCATTGGGATACTTTCTGATCATCCAATCTATGCTAGACTTTTGGAATATCTTGATATCTCTGGAGAGTCGTTTAAAAGGTGGATGCTGATCGATCACGATTTTTGCTATAAGTATTCTAGTGAGCCTGCTCTAACATCTACCGACAATGTCTTGAAGTTAGAACAAGGTCAAGCCAAGACCACTCGTGGGAAGCGCATTGCATTGGACGGCCTTGCTTTTCGGTAAATATAGAGCGTGCGCCAATTCAAAAGCGGCAACAATACCACAGTGACCATGTCGAAGTGGGATCTTGGGCCCGATGAATTATCGAGGTAAGATTCTCCCTTTCAATTCGCCAGATATTTGTTGCAGTCTCGTTGAGCCCTCTGCACCACTTTCCGTGCCGCAAGAAAGCGGTCATTCTTTGCTCATCGAGCAAAGATCGACCATTCAATGGAGCTCATGTGAGATCCCTCAATGATGGCGGCACGTCGGGTCTTTTTAAAAATCTCGGCGTGCGACTAAAACTGACATGAGTCATTGTTTAAATGCGATTATCAAGCCACACTACCAGACCAATCGCATTCTGGACCCAGAATTGCATGGGCGGATCGCTGTCCTCGTGCAGAAGACAGCTCTGCTGCAGGGAGAAGGTAAGATTTTGTCACCTTTCAACAAAGCGCTTCGTGTCCGAAAAGATCGTGAGTGATAAGGCTTTAGTAAGTACACGCAGAACATATAATATGCTCGCATTTACTTTTAAAATGTTGAGAGTCAAAGTGAGTCCCTTTTGACTACGACCTTAACGATTGATAGCGGCGAGGTCGCGATTTGATCTATTAGCATGTAGATACTGCGATTCTAGGTAGACTTACAGCCTTTGATCAGATAAGACTTTGTTCTACGACCAAGCCATGTGTGTTTTGCCTACTTAGTTTCTAGATACTCTCTTTACACATTCTGTCTCTCTGCTATAGCGACATGTACTCGGCGCATGACGAATTTCATCATCCAGTGGTACTTATTGTGGCGTTTTCTTGACATAATAAATTCGTACTGCTTCAACAAAGAAAAAAATTATTGTTTGAATTCTTGATATGAGCCTTCCCAGTCCTTGCACTCAGTGCCCTGTGAGTAGATTGACTGACGAGTTCATATTTGACGGAGGTTGATTACACCTCCTGTACCGGACAAAAATCGTTAGCGCGCTGTTGATACTCGACCGTTTTCTCATGGTGTACAGATAGTCCGATGGTCACGCGTGTGCACTTCACACAGAAACGGAGTCATATATGACTGTGCGTGTGACGCGCTCCAGATGGAGCATCCGCGCTTTGTGCCAACGGTTTCCAAACGGGTCGCGATGAAAAAACTAATTACATGCGATATCTTTCTGTAAGATAATTTAGCGTGGAAAGTGTTAAGTGACGGGTGCTGCGAGCGTATGCATCGCCTTACCAGGTGTACCAATTGCGACCGAGGTTAGTTCCTACTCGTCAAGAGGGGAGAAAATTGGTAGCCTATGTCCAGGAGTTAAGTCTACGCTTAGCCATGAAAGAAGATACACCTATGTGCCTAGTGCGTGCATTGCGGGAATGTTACAGTGTGGTGGTCGACATGCACATGTGGTGTCTTCTATATAGTCGCAAACACTATGTGTTGTACAGAATACTGGTTCCTACATGGGTTTACACCGATGACGAGACCGACGTGTCGTTGTCTTTTGAAGTGGGCGGTGCAAGCCAGACACTTCTGCTGGGAACTTTAACAGAGGTTCATGTTCACGATTTGATCAGGCTCCGTAGAACCAGGATGCTGTATAAGTCTAAGGTGAGGTTGAGCCTCAGTATACCCTTGATTATATGAATCACATTTATAGAAACCCAAGGCCCTATTAGAAAAACTCTGATACCCTTTGTGTCTTGCATGTAGCTCTAGAAACTCAGTTGCAAAATACCTTCTAACTTTGGATTCGTTCTTTTCCCTCCGAGTCGGGTCTGTCCTTTTTACCTAATTAAAGTCTCTGCAGACAGCTTTCCAATATAAATTATGGCTCAATGAGATTTTATCTGCTTGAAATATCTCCATCCCATAGATTTATATCGGTCACTCCGAACGCGACTGGGTGCTTCTTGCCACGTTCCCGTTAAGCCCCACTATTCTGTATGATGTACGCCTCTTACTGTATTGCTGACTCAACATTAGCGTGACATTGCAAAAATAATCGGCCACAACGACCGGGAAACGGTTGGTATCATTTTGATGAGGCCACAAACCACAGTTGTTCTTATCGTTCCCACCGCGACTTAACTATGAATACCCTGTTGTCGGTTGTGACTAAATGTATTTTTTGGAAGTCATTCCAGAAAAAGCTTAAGTAGCTACTTCCCGTCTAGTCTCGAGACCACGGGTCGAGATTGCTTATGCCCGCCGAGCTTAGATCTGACGATAGCTTTGAAAATATATACGGATAATCACATGCCCTGCATCAAAGCTATCGCGGCTTCATGTCCGCGCTGAAGTGCTATTGCTTGCTATCAAAAGTGTGCCATGACCCGCCAAAGCTCCACTAAGAGTTAAATGTTTGGTACTTGATGTTTCCGACTTCCAGTCGATTCATGGCCAACTTCTTGGATCGACTTTCCAACAAATCCATACTATTGATGGGAAGGCATCTCGAATCGAAATTAAGAACCAAGCCTCGTTTCTCGCCGTCAGAATACTCCAACCTAACAGAATAGCTTATGAGACCTTGAGCACTATAATCAGTGATCCCATCGTAGAATCATGGATATGATTTGAAATCGCCAGTGTTTCAGCGGCGCCGTCCAGATCATGTATTATCATTTATTACAGTAGTGACGTAGCGCATCGATGAGTTAACAAGTACAGCAAACGAATATGATGCAGCAATTGTTGTACTGTCGAGAGATTTGGGGTCCAGCAGTCCTTGAACTCGGGTGTCGCTTAATTAAAGTTTTTGGCTGCACATTGCACCGCTAGTCCTTGTCCCAAATCTATTTAGACACACCAGTTAACACTATGACACACTCAGCGTGTGGTAGGAATTCATGATAAGGATCTAGAGAATCCAGTTTCGTACGAAGAACGGGTTCTCCTGGAGGAATACCACCTAGCACGCCCCAGTGAGCGCAATTTATTGGTGGTCTTCCATATACAAGTAGGTAAATACTTATGTGCGGATATGATTAACGTGCCAATAGGTAACGTTCTTATTGCAGGTGTCAGTACCCTCTGCCAGCCTGCCAAATCTGGCATAACTTGTTCATTAGCATTGCCTAATTTCAGGCTCTCAAAAAATCAGGTTTTTCGGCCATTTTGGTCTTGGAGGGCCGTAGGAGAAAAAAAAAGACTATTTCACTGCTGTCAGCGGCACTCTTACCAGTGATAATGCATCCTATCAGTTTCTTGAAATAACGTTTTGCCAACATAGCTTGCCGGTGATCATTATTTGAGTCGATATCCGCAAAAAAAATGCGCGGACTATCTTCAGACAGACATCAGACGAAACGCAATAAACGCATGGCAAAACTTACATTTGCGCGGAGCGACCTCGGGACTGTTGAGAGACGCCTTCAATCTTTTAATTTGCTTTGATCAGCGCAGTAGACGCCTTTACAGGTCTAAGCTCAATCTAGTGGATTGGTTTATTTAGACCCTGTGATTCCGTGACACCCTCATAAACGTGGCCCTGGGGATACCTTGTCGACACGACTAGAATTGCTGATTAAAGCCCGGCTATACTTCGCAAGTGAAAGAACAATATCATCCCACTGAAAACTATCAAACTTCAAAGCGTGCTCAAAAGGCGCAAACGACCTGCTGGGAACAAACTGGGTCTAGGTGTAAGCCACAATTATTTAGGGGTCCTCTATTACGATGGTAACAGCTACCGTCCCAGAAAGATAGCCTGCAACCATACCTGCAATCTGCGTCTAATTATATAGAGCGCTGTTCACATCAGTCCCTCAAACACTACACACACACTTGTGCAACGTGGAAGCGATTTCCGACATGCAGCTAATAAGTATAGCACCATTTACAGGGCTATAATCATGCCAAGAGTTCAGGCTCTGATATACAACCACTATATTGTTGAGAAAGTGAATGCCGTGATCTACTGTTTGATATAAATGACGAATCAACCCACCTCACTCGTGCGTGCGCCTGCATGTGTATGAACTGAACGAAGATGCGCTTCCTTTTGACAACATCAAGGTGTAGTTTGTCAGGATTTCGCCTGTTCTCTGGTTTTCAACTGTCTTGAGATTCGAATCGATGAAAGTGTCGTTTAGATGTGCGTCACTCGAACAAAACGACCGGAACGTCAGTCAATACGGCGTGTACGGCACTTGATACCATCGAAATTTCGGGGCAGAGGATGATCGTGTCCATCGGTACAAACGGCATTACTGGCTGACATTCGGGCGTGCAAAGTTGAATCGAGCAGGGGAGATGTTTCCTTTGGTGCGATTTTGGTGTGGTCTTGATCAGATTGACTTTGTCGCTTACCACGGGTACTGCCGCTCTCTGGCTGATGATACGTTCTTGACACTGACTGCTCAGTCGTGTATCTACGAAGGCAGCAAAATCTTACAGCCAAAATGAAAATGACTTGTCCCTTGTTCGCGAGGACTTGCTGTTTGTCAATACAACGGGTCACAAATCGAGCTTGCCAAGCGTTGTGTTTGCGTTTTGAAATAACGATAGAAAGAAACCAGCGTGCATGCCTCCTTCAGTGTCGGATATTAGAATTGTGCCTTGATGCCATCGCGCTGGAAATAGCTAGAACGTGTTCCCGACTGTAGGGACTGAGCACGCTTCAAAGTCAGCAGCAAGCCGATTACATGGTGGCCTACGCTGATGCTCTTGTTTTTAGTTACAGCCAAGGTATCTCCGTGATTGTTTTAATGAAGGCTCTGACAGCGAGCGATGCTACAAACATAGTATTCTATTATTGTCACTTTGTCCGCTGGATTGTACGCAAGCATCAAGTGGTCCTCGCTGCTCGTAATTAGAGAATATGGACTCTTTGGCGCACTTACCACCAGTCTTGCTTCATTCTCCAATCAATATACATGCGGCTGTGTTGAGTGAGCTTCTCTATAAGTATATGCATCAACTTTGGCGGGCCGGGCCGGCTGGCCACAGGTTTAATTCAATTAGGGTGGACAGTATCATCAAAACTTCTTTCTGCTAATCTTTCGGAGCCTGTGTTTGAGAATGCCTTAGATAAATGTTCGGACGCGAATACGGGTAGCGACGGCTGGACGCTGTGTCAAGACAGATTCGACTGTTTACGCCAGTTTGTAGGCGGTCTGGCTATCATATTCCTAAAAATCACAACCGGAGGCAGAATTCTTGTGATTGGATTCGAGGAAGACGAGTATCGCAACTCGCTGACCGCCTACTCACTGAATTGAATCCTGCACATTACACTTTGGCACTTTGTGCGCCTTACTGAACAAGCAACAGAACATCCAGACGTTTATATAGTACCACCCATAATAGCCTACGATATGCTTTGATAATGCCCATGACAAATTTTACTTCGGAGGCACCGTAAAATATATTGATTTTAACAGGTACTAAGTGTAAATTTTACGGCTGGCATCACCTCGAGGGCTTTATCAAATTTTTGGCTTTTGCGTTCGATCAAGGCACGCATTATTAGTGAATTTGTAACGAAGCAACCACAAATAGCGTGACACGAGGTAGTGAATCTTCAAGTATATCACAACATGGTCCAGTGATCCCTTTTATCAGCTGGCCTGTGGTATTGATTTGGGCACAACGAGCATGCCAGCTGATCGATAAGAAGAGGATAGCATTTCCGGACGCATTACAATTATTGGCTATTCCCGATCCGAATCTTTGGGTAAAAACTAGGACGAAGAAAAAGCTGGAGATCATGTCTAAGGTGTGTAAGTTGCGCGTCCACTCGTCGTTTTCTTCCATGCAGTGCTCTAATACAATATCGCAGCCTTTCTTATCGAAAAAGTTATATAATTGTAAGCCTACATATTCAATTTCTCCTAACGTACATGTTTCGCTGGTTGAGCATCATGCTAAGTAGATCGTTTCTATGTCTAAGAATTCCTAAATTAAACCACGTTTTCAATGCTTTATCATTGGTGATGGCTAAATTTGAGGTATCTCAGTACCCCGTTGGTGAAAGTAATTTCTAAAGCACCTTGTGTTAGTGACACTATTGATATTTTGCACCGTAAACATAAGCCACGTGACCAAGTGTTCAATACCATATGGAAGCAATAGCAGCTTCATTCTATACCTCAAGCTGTAGGCGTGCGTGATTAAAGTGCAGCCTTCTTTGAATCTGCTCAACCTGCCTTGCGTTTTTAGCAATATGTCAGAGCTGGGTGGAAACGCGGAAAAGTGAACGTGCATCATTTAGTGTACGCGATAGTCTGATAACATTTTCTAACGTTTTCAATCTCTAGTAATTAGCCTAACTGTCACAACAGACACAGTTGGCGAGGCTTTTTTATCTTAAAGACTACACGACAGCTGAAGGGCAGCCCATCAATCTGCTAATTCACAATGCAAGCATGATTGCCTATCTTTGCTCAGGACCTCCAAGAAGGACGCTTTGATGAGCTTGTATGAGGCAAACTCCTTCAAATTCTTTCATGTGACGCATACTCTGTTACCAAACCAATAGCTCGCTGCCGTGCCACTGTTTGGGAACTTTTATCCTTCCCTCAGCACTATCGAATCGATACTTCAGACTTATACAGTACTTTTCAATGCTGCGCAGTGTCGTAGCAATCGAGACTGCGTTTGTCGCAGTGCATCTTCGATATGTGAACATGGATATGACAGCCATACAATGCTTGGTAGCCAAACGAAAGTCTCGTTGACCTAGACCTAAAGATCCGATATTGTGCATCTTATTTTTACATGTCGACTTTTTTCTAAGCCTAATCGCACTTCAATAATTTACAGAAGTTACAGTATATAACTTGTAAATATACAACAAGCTATTTGGAAGAACATGGTATCACCGGATGGTAATCCTAGGATCATCGATACTATCGAGTACACAACTCAACGGGGGTACAACAACAGATCTCAAGCTATTTCGAAGATTTAAAAAACTGCTAAGTTACATAATATCGTGTCATGTGTGCAATGGCCGTACCTTATGTGTAAAGCCCGACATAATGTTGACCTTTTAACTTCTGGTTCAATGAATAGCTAAGAGGTACTAATACCAATGCTTGTACTATCACTCATCATCAGATAGCGATCTCATTCCATATTTTTCCTTGCTCATCTTACGCATCAAATTGGGCATCATGGTCGTCTACGCACAAGCTACGAAAACAGTGATCGCTTTATTGACTCTCCCCTTGCTCTCTTCTGCTCACCTAAGCAAATGCCATATAAGTGACTCGAATACGTGTGATATCAACTCACTATCTCCGTCTACCGATGGTAGTGTATTCATATATCCCGGTGGCACAACTCGCTGTGCATTCGATGACTATACCGACACTGTGAGTAGCTTTCAATCGAATTCGACGTATTTCTTCCAGGTATTTCCTGCTGTCAACCAATCGAAAAACAAGTTACTTCTTTTCTTTCAAGGAGGTGGCGCATGCGTTGGTAAATACACATGTGACTTTACATTGCAATGTCAACTTGGCGATGATTCTTTGATCAGTACCAGAGCGACTGTGACGGAAAAGGGAATTATGAATCGTCATCTTGGTGACAATGTCTTTAATGACTTTAATATTGTATACTTACCATATTGTACAGGCGACTTATTTGTGGGAAATAAGTATCTCGAGCCATTTGAGAACATGTACAGTCAAGGATTAGAGAACAAGCAATGTTTGGGTCAGAACAAAGGCATGCACTTGAATGGGTACAATAACACAATGGCAGTGATTAAATGGGCACTCGACAATTACCCAAATCCCGAGCAGATTGTTATCGGTGGATATAGTGCTGGATCATTGGGTGCTCAATTATGGTCTACGTTCGTAGCAAAAGCATGGAACGTTGAGACGAAAGCTACAAAGTTTCAAGTGCTGGCTGACAGTTACGTTGGTGTGTTTCCTGAATTCAACCGTCCTGCAAGTTCGCTTGTCAATTTTTACGGTGGATGTCGTCTTCTCAACTTTCCAGACAGTATTGTAAGTACTTGTGAAGCAGAAACTGCAACAGCTGTCGATTTAGTGAGTTCTTTGATGAAAGAGACTCTTAGTGGTCAATGGCTTTTTATCAACAGCATTGGTGATGAAACTCAGCGCATGTTTTACGAACTAGTTCTGCTGGGTATTGCTGGTTTTCCGTTTACGCAGCTCCGCCCAGTAGATGAATTTTATGGGAATTTAACTGCAATGTTGAATGTCTACTCTTCTTTCATGGACGTCACTCGCTTTGACATTGACAGTGAGGAACACGTGTGGCTGACTCGTGATGACTACAGAAGCGTAAAGCGTTTAGATGGTCAGCTTTTGGGCGATGTTATGAGCGCGTGGCTCTCGAACAATCACATCTCATTTAGCGGAGTTTATCAGGCGTCACCAGGGTTTCAAACCCGTTAGTACTGAGCCTTCAATGGACAGTAGACACCGCAGCAAGTGCGTGGAAATCGTCTTAATTTGAACGCAAACACGTAGATGATTCATTGACACGACTCACGAGATGATTGTCTTATCCCAAATCCTTTGAATTAGCTATTGATAGTCGTGCTTTCAATGAAATGCCAATTTAAATCGATGATTCTCAAGCTTGCTTCCCGCTAAAACTACATTAACTTGCTATCTTGTGTGTGCTATGAATTCCTTAAGATCAATAATCAACGTTCGTTGAGTTGAAGCAAATCGCCCACGCATTATGTCTAGACGGTGTAAGAAAGTTTCAACTAATAATCGAAGGAGATAGTAGGACATTTACCCCCTCGTTTAATATCAAGTCGTCACGTTGCAGTGCAAAGGCGCTTAATGCTAGTCATGATTCAACGATAAATTAAGCTCTTGATCAGAGATTGAGGAACACCTGCCTATTTGTAATCAACACAACATTCACACAGCACCAACTCTCGCCACATTGTTCCCAGCCCCTCGAGTGTCATGAGCTGAGACATTGTTCGTGGAGAAAATTGATGCAGCTTTGTGCACTTAGCGCCTGCCTCAAATTTAAATGCACTTGATGCAACAGGATTACCATGTACTCTCCATACAGGAGGCTTCAACTGTGTTAACGAACGCACAGAGGTTGGTTTCATACGCTTCAGCCTAAAAAGATCAAAGCTACCGAACCCACACGCTAGGATTAAGCTTTCGGATGCTAGTAGCTATCTGACTAGTAGTCATCCAGTCTGATGTTTACGATTTATTAAATCCTGACAGCTACTATATAGACATCAAGATAATGCTATAGATGTGCAGCAAGATACAGAGTCCCATCATCTTCGAAACTTTGGATTGACCTAAGAACAATGTGAATCGCATAATTGTTTTGTGTTATTTTGATTTCTTACAATTGTACGAAAAGTGAAAGGGTGAGGACACTATATTACAAAAGGTACTTACCCGGTAAAATTTAGACAATCAATGATTGATTTCACCCTTCGCTCGTATTGGAATCAGTTACAAGCATAATGTTGCATGTACTCACCAGTGGGAAGTGCGCCATGATAAGTCTCGTTATCAAGGGAGGTAAAGGCCAAGGGTGCGTCTGTTATAACCGGTCACGGCATCAGAGCAATCTTGCAGGAATGTGCATCAAACTCAGTTTGCGAGTGGAAGTATCCCTTTACATTCACTAAATACTGGCAACAGCCCTTGTAACGGGATTATACGCAACCTGGTAACGGCTGTGTATGTCACACGAGATGTGCATGGTGTGACTGCACCCAAACAAGAATTTGGTATGTGCGCTAGGTAGCCAGTACTCATGCCTGTATTCAGATTTTACTATATATAATTAGTGAAATCTATACATTTAAATTAAGCGGTTTTAGCCGCAGATAAAAATAAATAAAAGTCAGTTTTTGAATTTTAACCGAGAAGTTTATTCGCTTTGGTTAAGGCATTGGAGGTAGCGGATTGCGATTTGCTACACTCA